GGGGAATCTTGTGATTTCCTGGAGGCCTGACTTCAAGGCTTCTCTGGGGTCAGGGGATACTGAGGCTGTTTGTCTTGAGGGTAAAGCTTGGGTTTTCACTTCTGTGTTAACATTGCTTAGCCTGAGTCTCAGAAGGAGTGCTCAGGTACTCCACCACATTTAATCACGAGTGAAAGGCCTCTCACCAAGGCAGACCCAACTCCCAAACCAACTGACTCATGCTTTTGTTATGAGCTAGACAGATGCCTAAAGCAGAAGGCGGCAATGCAGTACACCTTGATGAAGAGTGGAGGTAAGAAAATGCCTTTTCTCCATTCTCAAAATTTAATTTTAAGATCAAATATTTGGCTATGTTTTTCAAACTGATCAGTGCTAGCCAGAGAGTAAGATGGCTGTTGAGAGGTCCAAGGGAACAAAGGTTAGGTAGAAATGTTTCCTTTTGAAGCAGCAGCGGGAGAGAACAAGGTCATCATTGTGTCATGCTTTTGTAAAGGTAAGTTCAGCCCAGATGGGCTACCTGCATGCAAGGTGGATAAGCAAATGTACAACCCAGAAGCAACAACTTCTCATTGGGTTTTGCTGTGATTCCTTCTCTGGGGATGAAACATGTTCTGTGAACTCTTCTCTGGCATGTGACACACTGCACGTCCCCAAAGGGTGATGGTATTGAAAGCTACTTGCTGTTTGGAAATACGTGTATAATCCTTGGCTTGGCCAGCTAAGTCAATGGCTAGTGGAGGTCCAGGTCGCTGTCAGATCTCTATGCACTGACCACAAGTATAACTGATCCTAGCATAAGTGATTCAGTGTATAAGAGACCTCTATGAATATTGCTGGGCACAGATATGGATTTCAATCCCTACCTCCTGTTTAGGTCTATCTACCCTTTGTATTTATGAATATCAGTCTGGAAAGGACTCACCTGCTGGAAATTAAAAACAATGCTTTGAAAATGAAAGTATGATGAAAGGCCAGTTTATACACTTGAACATACGACAACCGTATTGGATTTCATTAGAACTTCAAAAGTAGTGTAGCTTGCGCATGATTTTTGGCTTTATTTTCCTTCCAGGGCTGAGACCAGGGCACATGCTAATATATGAGGACATGCTGCATTTGGGAGTAGGAAGGTCTCCTCATCAAAACAAGGCTGAAAGAGTTGGGGATGTAGCTCAGTGGTAGAGCACTTGCTTAGCACATGTGAGGTCCTGGGTTCCATCCCTAACACCACACACACACACACACACACACACACACACGCACGCACATGCATGCACTCACTCAGGCAAGCACATACAGTGTAGAATAAAGACTTTGACTCACTAAGGCTGTGGCTAGCTTCCCAGACACTACTCTAAATCAACAAACATCCAACCCCCCATGCTGAGCAGTTGCCTCAGCTCCTTGCTAACAAAGCTGCTCATATGTAACTATCATACTCAGAGCTAGCCCACAGGGTAGATGAAAAAAATGTCTAGTTTCTGTGTTTATAAGAGACACATATTACTTAAGGTGTTTTGAATCCTTGTGGGAAAATAAGTTGCTTCTTTTCAGCAAAGAAAGAAAAATGGGGGGGGGAAGTTGGAATATATGCCTATTTAATTTTAGCACTTGTTACAGTTCTAAGGTCACTAGTTATGTGTTAATATAGAAACATAAAATGTGTTAGCACATTATTTTTCTGCTCATGTAATAGTTATTTTTGGTGAATTTGGTTTTACAATCTGAACAGTTAAAGTGTTTTCATTCAGTTATTCAGAAGTACCAGCTCCTGACTCTCTTCTCTTTTTCTTTTCTGGTTTATAACAATGCAGTGAAACACTCTTGTAATCCCAGCGTTTTGGGAGGCTAAGGCAGGAGGATCACAACTTCTTGTCCAATTTTGGCAATTTAGTAATTTAGTGAGATCCTGCCTCAAAATAAAAATAAATAAATAAATAAATAAATAAATAAATAAATACAGGAGGAGGGGCATGTAGCTCAGTGAGAAGGCCATGGGTTCAATCTTCAACACTGAAACCAAAGAAAGGTATGAAAGGGGGAGGGAGGGAGAGAGAGACAGAGACAGAGAGACAGACAGACACAGAGAGATAAAGAGAGAGACAGAGAGACAGGGACAAAGAGAGACAGAGACAGAGACAGACAGAGAGACAGATACACAGAGAGAAAGAGAGACAGACAGAAAGAAATAGAGACAGAGACAGATACAGAGAGAGACAGAGAAAGAGAGACAGAGAGAGGGAAAGAGAGACAGAGAGACACACAGAGAGACAGAAACACACACACACACACACACACACACACACACAGAAAGCTCGCAACTCCAAGTTCTGTAGCTCTGCATTTCTTCATCCAGTGTTGGGGTACAATCACCATGTTTCTAAGCACAGTAACGTTCATAACATTCTGTGTACTATGTTCGCAGCATACAGTTGCTTCACTTTTAGAAAACTAGGAGGAGGAGACTCACTTGTTAAGAATCAATAAATCTTGTTTCTTCTGGTTTTAGGAAATGGCAACCTTCCCAAAAGTGAAATCCTAGTATGCCTTTTTCTGTTTGTTGGAGCACCTTTGCTCAACTCATCCTCCCTGGTAGGATTTCCTTAGTGGAAGCATGGAACTGGCTCGGACTGGCTGGGAAGACTGACTGTGACTTTTCCTATGGTGCTGAGAGTGGCGGTAGCCTCCGGTGGCAGAACTGGGGATTGAACTCAGGCCCTTGCTCTTGCCAGGGAAGCGCTTATTCTACTGAGCCATCTCCCCAGCTCCAAGGCCTCTTCCCAAGACAGTCACTCGTGGGTGTGGCGATTAAGAGAGAAGGCCAAAGGACAAAACAGGCAATTTTAGAGCCACCTTCCTCCGCACATTCAGGAACCTTCACATGGAATCTTCACAGTATCATTTTCAATATTTTAAGTTATCATAGAAATTAGTTCATTTTTTTCTCAAAAAAAACTTTAAAGAAGGGAACTTGGGGACATGTATACTATTGCATTTTCATTTTTATTTGCCCACTCTGGTGGAACTGTCAACATGACCATATGTAGGCATATCCTAGTAGATAAGAAAGTGCCCAACTTGTCCAAACCAGAAGTTACTTAAGCAACAATTATCAAGCAAATACTCCTGTAGTCTTGCAATTCTGCATCCATGCTGGCTTGTGCTTCTAATCATGCATATTTTATTTTATTTTTGTATTTTAGGGAAGGGTCTACAGGGTGTTCAGGGTCTCACTACTAGATAGGACTCATAGTGATCCACCTGTTTACAGCCTCCATGCCCAGTCTCAACTGCCATCTCAACGTGCCCCAGGGGGCGGGGCCAGCACAGCAGGCCAGAGTATAGAATCCCTGGCACTTGCACCTGCTTGCAGGTGCTTTAATCCACTGAGCGATTTGGCTGGCCCATTAATCATGCATATTTTTTTTAAAAAATTTATTTATTTATTTGTGTGTGTGTGTGTGTGTGGCCAGCTTAGTCCACCAGGGGGCGGGGCTGGCTGGCATGTGGTGCTGGGGGATTGAACCGCAGTCCCTATGCTTTGCTAAGCTTGTTCTAAGTAGGTGCTTTAGACCACTGAGCCATCTCACCAGCCCAAATCATGCATATTTTATACTTTGCTGTTGAGTGATAAATGTGGGATTGTTTCTAATGAACACAAACAGAATTGATTCTAGTATTTAGAAATGATTATCTAGCCTCTGTTGCCAGCACATATTTATTGAATATTTCATGTAGGCAAGATCCTATGCTAAGCTCTATACCGACATTATTCACAACTCACATCTACTCTAATAAAAGCTAGTATTTAAATTACAGGATGCTTAAGGACAAATCTGTTCAGTGGTCTTAATTCAAGGCAAGTGAGCAACTGTATTCTGTATTCTGAATGCTTACTGTACTTAGGCGTCTCGAGTGACACTGTGTTCCTTTCAGCATGCTAGTTGCTACAGGGGTGCTAAGGAGGACCTGCCTACTACCTGGATATGAGACAAGGAGCTAAGACCTAGGGACTATGTCTTATTACTTTCGCTTTGATACTTAGAACATAGTAAGTGGTTGACCTCAGTGAATATTTTTGATTACATAAATGAATGAATGAATGAATGGACAGACTAGAGAGTATTCAAATGTAGACTTGTGAAGATAACATTTAAGTTTTAGGTATCCAGAGAAAAATAAGCATGGATTATACTGATTGGTGGGCAACTGGATATATAGTAGGCCTTGAAGTTTAGGAGCCTTTCTAACAGGTAGATCTAGGAGTAATTAGAACACAGGTAAAGTGTAATATTTCAGGGCCAGAGGGACCTCTAGATAGCATTTCCCAGAGTGTGTTTTGCCAGAAATTCTTCTTACGTGCATTTGAGAGACAGCATTGTTGCCCAGGTTAATGCAGCTTCACTGCATGCATCAGTACTTTGAAGTTTTAGAAATGATTTGTTGGACAGTAGACTGCCAAGCTTTGTCTATCTGAACGTTTTTCCAATTGATTGGTCTGTGGATCCCTTTTCTTTGTAACAAAACTGTTGAGCATCCCTGCAAATACTCTTGGAAAGACACAGATCCAGTGCAACACCTTTGTTTTCCTGCTGAGTCATGTAGAGGCTGAGTAAGGTGCCCAAGCGAAGGTCACACAGCTGCTTGATACCAGATTCACTCCGAGTATACTAGAGCTTTCAGACCCTTGGGTGGTGCTTGCCATTACACCAGCACACCTTCCATCATGGCTGCTGCCCTGGTGACTTCCCTGGCTGGGCTTCTCACTGCCAGTACAGTATCATCATGCTGATGAGGCCTGCCAGAGACACAACTGTGGAGAGTTGGGGGGATGACACACTTGAGTTGGTAAATTGCTGCATGCAAAAGAAACAAGAACTAATTGTGTCCCTCTGGAAAATGTAGCACAAATCCTCTCCCTTTCTTCTTATCTACTAGGCCCCTATAAAGATATATATTATTGAAAAAGATATATATTATGTATGTACTTACTAGGAAACAAAGAAAGCCCAGACAGAACTTCAGGAGCATTTTCCTCATTGCTACCCTGGTAATTACCACATAGATAGCAAACTTTCATTTATCCCATGTACAAAGGGCAGGGACCCAAATTAAGTGGGAATACTTGAACAAGACACAAAATATCCAACACACTGACCCCCGCCCTAGCTTTTGCACAGGTGCTGCTGTTGTCTAGAAAATTCTTTCTTCTTTCCATTTCCAGACCCTCTCCTTTGCTCATAAGCCCCTGCTACACTGGTCAGCTGCACCTGCTCTTTGGGTTTGCATTCTGTCAGCACACAGGCTGAGAGTTTCATCTCCCACTTGGATTTTTGAGGGATCTGAAGGGTTTTCACATGTGGAAGCTTGGATGTTCCTACTAATTTTCAATAGCTCCAGCCACTAGTGTGCACCCAGGTGGCTGCCAAGTGTTTACATTGGATCAATTATCTCTTCACACCAATGAACCTCTCAGAACAAGGAAAGAGGACAGTGTGTATTAACAGGTGAAATTGGGAAGCAAGTTTGAGCTGAACAGAGGTTTCCTAGAGCTCTTGAGCTGGGTGGTTTCTTTCACAGGCAATTCATATCCTTGCTTACTATGTTCCTAAGGGGTGCACCAAGCAATGAATGCTTCTGCAGGAATTGGAGGCAAGATCGAAAGCTCCTGGGAGCATAGTCTTCATTCTTGTCATGCAGGGTGTCTCTTCTCCCGCCTTCCCTTCCTCCATCATATTCTGTCATACTTCTGTTGCTCATTTTCAGGAAAGAAGAAATCCAAATTTAAAGTCTTGAAGAGCTTTTTTGTTAAGAAGAAGAAAAGAGAGACTGAAGGTGCCCAGGAAGAGAGGATGCTGATGACAAGCTTGTCCAGCAGCAGCATCAACATCTCTACTCTGGATCTAGTCCAGAAAGATGAACTAACTGACCCTAGGTAAGCTAAGATGGAGTGAAGAGGGTGGGGCCATGGCTTTAGAGGACAGCTAGATCTAAGTTCCCTCTTGGTGCCTAAGTCACCAGTGAACATTTGGTCTCAGGGACTTTTGGCTTCTCTTCTTCTGGGTTCCACACCTGCAGCCTATGCCAGCGCAGCTGTGTTCAGGGTGTCTCTTCTCTGTGTGCACACACGTGTTCATTGTCTGGGCTGTGTAGCTCAATGGGGTAGGGCATGGTAAATACACACATCACCCCCCCAGGTGTGAGTGTGCAGATAGATTAGGGAAACCATTCCTATCACTGCTAGGATAACTTGTGATGTGGGGCCTACAGTAAATGAGGAGCTGGAAGCATATTTCACGTAGTCAGCAGAACCAGTGTTCAAAAAGTTAAGTCTGACCTAGCCTGCAACCTGGCTGAGGGTACATGTCTCATAATGAGTGATTAACATCTCAGAGAGCAAGATTATGTCGCTGGAGAGGCAGGACCAAAGGGACTTAAGTAGAAAATCATTGTGTTGTTGGAAAAGTATTCTTCCTTTCCCCATGAGACTGGGAGAAATGTTGGAACTGGTCCCAAAGAGTATGGGGACAAATATATCCCAGCCATCACTGTCATCAGTATGCAAAGTTTTATCTGTAATGCTCCTATTTCAACATCCTATCATGGTCTTTCATCTGGACACACAGTACCCTCAGCCATATCTGGATCAATTTGATCTCCTCCCATGGGGCTTTACTTGGGTTAGTTCCCCTGGTGTCACACACAGACTTCTCCGGACACCCCCTCTTGGAATTCACCAGTTTTGTTAGCCACCCTCACAAGGCTGTGCTTAATGGTAATGGAATAGCTAGCTACCGTGTTGTGCTGCCCACGAACAGTCTCCAACACTTCCTGAAACAGAATGCCCTGATAGCACATAAAGTTCTATAAGAAGGATCTCATGAGCACATCAAGTGTGAGGATTTTTAGAAAGCCTTGCCAGTGAGGAAGATAGTTTTAGACAGAGGAGACATTTTGTACCTCACAAATAATGCCATTAGAAAGTATTGTCTTAAAGCTGAGCAAGACTAAACTAAAGCTCTGCCAAACACTACAGGGCAGGGAGGAAGAGGTATTCAGAGCTATTCTTCATTGTCTCTGGAGGTTGGTAAGGATGGTTGCTACTAAAGTTCCATATTTCTTCCTTTTACTTGTACCTTTCCCTCCCACAATGGTCCCTGTGCTCTGATGTAGCCTTCACATTAAGAAGCATGTTGTCATGAGAGAGAGAGAGAGAGAGAGAGAGAGAGAGAGAGAGAGAGAGAGAGAGACAGACAGACAGACAGAGACAGAGAGACAGAGAGAGACAGAGAGACAGAGTTTTTCATCTAGGTATGTAAGTAAGCTATAAAATATAATTTAGTACTCTGAAGTTCAACCCTGACCCCAGTCTCTTGCTCATAACCCCTGGATACTGTCACTCAGGAATTAAAGGTTGATCAGCTTTGCTCATTCACTGAAACAATCAGTCATAACAAAATGTATCAGCAGCCTTCCCCTGGTCAGTACAATAGAACCAGCATCTCTTTCTAAAATTGTAGTGATATGGCTATTGTTTTGTTTTTTATTTTAAAGAGAATAAAATGAATTACATTAAAAAGATACAGAATTTCAAAACAAGATGATAGGAAATTAACAATGGTTGTTATATTGAATATTCTTATCTTCAAAGTAGTTGTTCAGATTACCAGATACAAGCATGCAAAATTGTTCAAAAAATTAAGCAGTAACTGTTCCTTTCAAGAAATCAATAGAAATTAGTAGTACAATTATCTTAGCTATCTTGTGTGTGTAAATATATAGCCCCTTTTCTTCTTTCTTTACTCCTTTCCCTCATCCCAGTTGTTCCTTCCTTTTGAGCAGTTTCTTTCCCTTTCACAATATCTATTGTACCTTTAGCATTTTATTTACTTTTTTCAGTTTCTCACACTAGGGAGAAAATACAATGTTTACACAGGTAGGTCTGACTTGTTTCACTAATATTAAAACAGAAACACTAAATCTACTTGAAAAGAAAGTAGGTAGAAATCTTGAAGACATAAGGATAGGCAGAGAGCTCACAAACAAAATCCAAACTGCATGGGAAATACTTGAAAGAATCAACAATTGGGATCTCACCCTACTGAAAAGTTTCTGCATGTTAAAAGAAATCACCAAGAGAATAAAAAAAACCCCGTGAATTGGGAAAAATTATCCAACTACCCCCCAGACAAAGTACTACTATTTAGAACATAAAGAATTTTTAAAAATCAGACTCCCAGTATTCAAATAACCAATAAAAAATGGACATCTGAGATGAATATACACTTCTTAGATGAAGATATACAAATAGTAAATAAATGTATGAAAAACTGTTCAATAGCATTTGAGAAATGCAAATTAGCAAAACACAAATTCCATCCCATCCCAGAAAGACTGGCTATCCTCACAAAGTCAACCAATAACAGATGCTGTGGGAAATAAAGAGCCCTTCTCCACTGTTGGTGGGAGTGCAGGCTGGTATGATTGCTGTGGAAATTAGTGTGTAGATTTCTCAAAGAACTAGGATTAGAGGTCCCATTCAACCCAGCTATTTTCCTTCTTGGTTTATTTCCAGAAGAAGTGAAAACATCATGCTACAGTGATATATGAGCAACCATGTTTGTAGCAGTGCAATTTGTCATAGCTAAATCTTGGAAACAACCCAAATGCCCGTCAACTGAGGAATGGATAATAGAGATGTGATATTTTTATACAATAGAGTATTACTCAGCTATAAAGTAAGATAAACTCTAGGCTTTTTTAGGTAAATGTCATGATATGTCTAAAAGAATGGAAAAATCCTATTCCTTCATTTAAATCTTTAGTGGGTACTACTGTAATATTTTTATGGGTCTTAGTTAAAGCAGAGATTTTGTTTAGAATTTTCTCTCTTTCTTTCTTTCTTTCTTTCTATTTAGGGGAGTGTCTGCAGGGTCTACAGGATCTCACCACGTAGATCAGACTCGTACTGATTCTCCTATTTTCAGCCTCTCAAGCACTGGGATTACAGGTGCACACCACCACGCCAAGTCTCCATCACTGTCTCAGTGCACCCCAGGGTTAGGGCCAACACAGCACTCGGGATCATCCCCTGAGCTGTCTGACCAGCTCTTGTTTGGAGTTTTAGGCATTTTTCCTTTTGCCTGCAGGTAGCAGATCAATGAGCACTGGATATGTGCAATGAGCAGGAGTTTTGGACTTCTGACAAACTTGGCCACACCTGGTGCTACTTTAATCTTTTGATCAGATAGGGCTTGGCATTCTAGAGCCAATTCAACAGCTATAATCTGGCTGATATACAGCATGGAAATGAGAGAGGCTTCTAAGTCCACCTATAACCTGAGATTTGCTCCTTTTTTTGGAGCGTAAAAGGGAGACTGGGATTACAGGTGTGCACCACCACACCCAGTCTATGCTTCTTTGGAGCATAAAAAGGAAGCAAGGCACAGTAATCCACAGATGCTGCATTGGTGCTGAGCCTGATTTAAGCCTGCAAGTCATAGAGCAGTACTGAATAAACATGTACCTCCATGTGTCATGAGCAAACGTATATTAGAGATGTCTCAAAACCATGCTCTCCTGAGGCCCAGGCATTCTTTTTTTCTTTCTTTCTTTCTTTCTTTCTTTCTTTCTTTCTTTCTTTCTTTCTTTCTTTCTTTCTTTCTTTCTTTTGTATTTTAGGGAAGGGTCTACAGGGTGCTCAGGGTCTCACTACTAGATCGGACTACTAGTGATCCACTTGTTTACAGCCTCCGAAGAGCTGGGATTACAGGCCCACACCACCACGCCCAGTCTCAATTGCCAGCTTAGCATGCCTCAGTGGCGGGGCTGGCACGGCAGGCCAGGGATCAAACCGTTGGCCCCTGCACCTGCTTGCAGGTGCTTTAATCTGCTGAGCTATTTGGCTGGCTCCCAGGCATTCATATATACCCAGTAAGGGCTTATTCTGGAGAGGACATTACTTTTCTTCTGGACTGTTCGTTCAGTAAAGCACAGAGTGTTTCCTTCACAGGGCAAACTGGGCATGGATTTTACATGGAAAAGGGAGGTAATAATTTAGGACAAAGTAGCACACATATGCCTCCTCAACTTTCTTGCTAGTCCACAAGCCACCTTAAAGTGAATTCCATTTTAATCCTCATAACATGAAATTTCATGATCACATATACAAAGTGCAGGTCCCACCTCCACACAGGCTCACAGTCACCCACTTTATTCACTAGTCCTACAATGTGCAGGCTGCTTCTCTAGTTACCATTTAAAGATAGTCTTTTTTGACAGGCATGTTGCCTCATGCCTATAATCCCAGCATTTGAGAGGCTGAGGTAAGAGGATCACTGTGAGTTCAAGGCCAGCCTGAGCTACATAGTGAATTCAAGGTCAGTCTAAACTGCACAGCAAGATCCTGTCTCAAAAAACTTGAATAAATAAAGATTGTCCGGCGTTGAACTCAAGACCTTGTGCTTGCCAGGCAGGTGCTTATGCCACTGAGCTATATCTCTGGACCAAGTTTGTCTTTTTTTGTTTTGTTTTTTTAAAGAGAGTACAAATTAGAATTAAAAGAGAAAAAGTTACAAGTAATGCAGAATATCACTTATCTAAGTATTATGAATTTACCAGTATTTGTTTTAACACATAGTGTTGTCTTCCAACCAGTTATTCATATTACCAGATATATGCATGCAAAATTGGAAGAAGAAAGAAAAAAGAAAGAAATGTACAAGAAATTAAGGACAGAAAAAGTACAAACAATTGAAAAAAGGAAACAAAACAAACTAAAGCTTTAACTGCTTCTTTCCATAGACCAGCAGAAATGCACAGTATAGTTGTCAAGAACCTTTGCACTAAACTATATGCCAGGCCCTTTTTAAAATTTTACTTTTTATTAATCTCCTCTCTAGGTTGCTAAATTGCTGAGACTGGTCTCAAATTTGC